TAAGGCTGATAGTCAACAACAAGTTTGGAGCAACAAATAAATTAACAAAGTTCATATGTCTAAAATTCAAGAAAGTAAATGACAGATTATCAAACACAGTGAAGCACTCATATGAATGTTCTCGGAGGATCAAAAACATGACAATGGAAGAAACATAATTATTGGTAAGTGTTGATTCACAATTTATGTACGCCAATATCTCTGGAGAAACGGTACTAACGCCCCTGCTGAGTATTTTGGATCGAGAAAAGGATATCACATAAGCAGACAGGATCAGAACGGAGTCGTTAACACGACTAATCAACATGGTAATAAGAAGAAACTACTTCACATTCAATGACATCATTTATGAAGACATTTGGCCTTCCTATGGGATCGCCGCTTTCACCTCTGACAAATATGCATATAAATAAATTAAAAGGTAATTTTAAGACGTCACCACTGCAACCAAGAGTTCTTTTGCTGTACCTGTATGACTACTTTGAAATTTTGCCACATGTAAGAGAAAAATGGGAGGACTTCGGGATTCGTTGAAGAATCAAGTTCACAATGGATATAGAAGAAGAGGGGAGTTTAACTTTCGTGGATAAAGAAGTCATTCGCTTTAATGAGACATTCAAGAGTGAATTGATTCGAAAAAAGTCATACGCCGGAATAATACTCGATTTCCAGTCTCATCAAAACTAAAGAATGAAGATAGCAATGCTAAGGCGTATGATCATCAGAAGCCTACGATTAACGGATGTAGAATTTTGGGATGAAGAATAGGAAAAGTTGACTTGGATCTTCCTCGGCAACGGATACTCGAGAGAAATAATGGAAAGAAGCATGCTAGCCGTGAAGAGCCGATGGAAGGACGGGGATTATAAAAGATGGAGAAAGACTTACTAAAGTGTATATGCCTCTTCCTGCGAACTAGCTCAAAAGCTTCGGCAATATTAAAAAAATGTAATATTCAAGTGACCATGAAGGAAAACATAACACTATTCTCAAGTCTATCTAGGCAGCGTGAGAGGGTAGACAAATTGGATTGCTCGGGGGTTTACTGCATTGCATGTGTTGTCTGCGAACAGAAATATATTGGCGAAGCATGAATAAAATTCAGCATACGAATTAAGGAACACCAAGGGCTCTGCAGGAAAATGGATACTGAAGGATAGGATATAGGGGAACACATCGTAGAGACTGGACATGGGATTAATTGAAAAACAACAGAAAGAAGGGCCTCGTACTTTGAAAACACAAAGAAACAGAAGTTTAGGGAGGCCACTAACATCCTTAGAGAAAAAAATTAGTGGAGATTGGAAGGCAAAATTAATGCTAATTTTGCCTATTTCCTGATCAAATTCGAAAAAAGCAAGAGTATGACAAGAAAAGCAAAAATGAGGCCCCTGGATCAGGGATCTTTGTAAATCAATGGAAAGGGGATCGCAAGGAAGCAGAGGATGGAGAAGTTTCGGAAATCAAGTGAAGGCGTTTTCAGTGAGTGTAGACTGCTCGAAGAAATAACTAAAACTTTAGAGGCCTGATGGTCACGTGACTATGGCGACGGATAACGACAACTATCACATATATTCGGCTTTCTGGCCAAATAGACTAATCCACTCGAGATGTAGCGGGCGACCAGAGATAGATGTCAACACTATGCTCAGGATACATGGGCTTAATCAAGAAGATGATGTGTGAAAGCAGTTCTTAATATCCGCAAGCATGGGAATGAGAGCATAGGCGCTTTTAAACTACGGGTCACAAGAAGTTTAAGAAATAGGGCCTGGAGAAAGAAGTATTCTGGGGCTGGAACTGAGGGAAATTGATGCGAAGAAAAGTTGGGTTTTAAGGAATCTCTCGTTTCATAATTGTTGTGCTTACTTCCATTTCTAGTGAAAGTATTGGGTGAAGAGATTCGAAGGTCGATTCCACTAGAAGACGACGGCGGATTCCTCTTGATCAGCTTCCGATTGGCTTTACTGGAACATTCATGCTGACTCTGTTTCCGAGGTAATCCCTTTGGATTCCGGTGAAAAGGTGCTATGCTTTCGTCCGTCATATGACGAACTTCATCAGAGCAAGGTATCATCATCAGACCCAAGTTCAAGCTAATGAGTCAAGAAAACTCACCGGAAAATCCCTAAATCTCTTGACTCGTTAGCTTGAATTTGGTTGTGATGATGTTACCTTGCTCTGATGAAGTTCGTCATATGACGGACGAGAGCATAGCACCTTTTCACCGGAATCCAAAGGGATTACCTCGGAAACAGCGTCAGCATGAATGTTCCAGTAAGGCCAATCGGAAGCTGATCGAGAGAAATCCGCCTTCGTCTTCTAGTGAAATCGACCTCGAATCTCTTCACCAAACACTTTTACTTGGAATGGAAGTAAGCACAACAATGAGGAAAATTGGTCAACTAAAAAGTTAATAAACGGATCTAGTGGACCATGAGGACCGAGTCGGATCAGCCACTAGAAAGGGAGGGGGGCAAGGCGAATAGCGGATGTAATAACGCCACGGTAAATTCGCCAAAAGGGCACCTTTTGAGGAGTTAAATCGAAACAAGCCAGAAATTGTGATAGGACGAGGCCGAGACAAGAGTGTATGAAATGGATAGAGGGGCCAGGAAAAGAAATAGGAGTGATAGTACAACCGTTTCGGCAGAAAAATGATCAAGGTATTGATTTTACTTGTCTCTTTGACGAGTTGTAGTTTGGTGCTGAGACTGGCAAGATTCATTGATGATGCCGGCGAAACGTCTTGGAATGTACAAAGTCTAAGGTCCGACTTTGGAAATTATCATGTATACTATGGACTTCGGTCTAGATGTGCTCTTCTAGGTCCTCCTGCCAATATAAGCAAGTTGAGAAAACAAGACCAAATGGCTGCAATATTAATTGTTTATATGGCTCTTGACATTCCTGGTCTATATATCCTTGCATATATTTTCCGCCTTTATTTGCTGATTTATCGATTAGCAAGATATTATTTAGCCTATTTTCAGCAGTATTTTTTTCTGTGCCTTTTTGTTACTTAATCTTCTATTTTGCTTTTTCACTATATTTTGTTTCCATAAGTTTGATAAAGACTGGTTCGAGGACCACGAAGAGGGCATGCTTTGGATTCGTGGCAAGCATGGTGCCAGAATGGCTCAAGAGCTCGAAAATTTGGATGAAAAAGCTGCTTCTTTTAAAACAGATTCTAGGCCATTACGTAGTCGAACCGAGGGAGAGTCAGTTAAAACGACTGATTATATTTCTTTAGATCAAATTCATGCTAGCCCTAAATTGAGCCCAATGCCTTGTCGTTTAGAAGCTGGCTTTTCTGGTGTAGGTAGGTGGAATTCTTATGATTTTTTAGCTATTTGCCATGACATATTTACATTGTGACTAGGTTATTGAACTATTCCATTTTACGAATAATTCTCATATATCTACATTGGTCTCGGCTTCATTCCAAATTTCTAGTTTCCAGGACCCTCTCAATTAAAGGCTTCTAACACCCTCATATATTTGTGTCGAGTAAACATTCTTTTTTCTGCGTTTTTTCTATTTTGTGATTGATCATTTCTTAGGATATCTTAAAATTCCTCTACTTCTTTAACCTCTTTATTGGCATGCGATTTTTACCCTGTGCTTCTTTACAAGTCTGAATAAATACAAAACGTATGTTACTACCATAATCTCAACCCGAGATATTCCAAGGGATAATTTTAGAGGTAAGTGAAGTGAAGCAAAGCATGTTTAACAGATTCCATTTTTTTATCTCGTCATTGTTTCACGTGCTATGGCTTACCAGTAAGACTCTGGAACAGCGAAATCCTGAAATTTACTCTATGCACATTTTATTTATCGCTATTTTTTATTTAAAGGGTTCTCTTATCAGGACGTGATGAAGTTGCATATATATACATCCTTCTCACTTTGTAACCCTCTCTCTTTATCCCAAAGAATGTTCAGAATTTCGTAGTACCAACATCGCCACTTATCCTTAATATTATTACAGTTACTATTACTCTCCACTATTTTAACGAAGTGGTTTTTTCTATCACGATTTACGCAATATGATAAATCCTTTATTTTTTCAGGCTAGTGGTCGTAATATTTATTTTGGGCTTATATCAATGTAGATTTTTGTTAAGCCTTCAAAC